TCTGGGTCTTTGGCGGTGCTTTTACAGCTGAGTGTTGACGACTCTTGTGGACCTGAGGACGCTCCACTCAGTGCCTCGCGGCACGGTGGCCGGTTCTTGTGGTGAAACAAGTCGGACAGTAATGGTGGATTAAGAAATCTCTGGGAGCCTTTTGGAACCATTTTGGAGCTCTCACGGGCCTTTCCGGGACCCGTTGCGGCCTTCGTGGGGGTCCTCATGTTTTTTGCGGGCCTTCTCTCGTAGCCATCCTGGAAGTCTTCGATTCGGAAATTGTAAGTTTCCACAGCGCTTTTGTTTGTGGGGCGGTGGGGTTGTCTTGGAGCCCTTCTGGGCCCCTCTTGGAGATCTCTTGCGCGATCTTGGAGCAATCCTGCCCATCGGGAGCCAAAAGGTTCGAAGGCAAACATCGTTTCACAAGTTGACATGTTTGCATGCTTTGGGCCTCTTGGTGGATCCTCCTCAGCAGGCTTCTGGCCCAGCGCACGGAGTTCCTTGAGCAGCATGGAGTTCCTCAGTGGTCATTCGCTCTGGGGAGAGACCATCCCAGACCGTCGGAGGACCAGGCCCGCAAAAACCTTGTCATTGTGTAGCACCCGCTGCCCATAACGGAAGAGCTTCGAGGCGCTGCACCACGTGCCACACGCTTGACTTGCTCGGACGTGTGCACTCTTGTGTCGGCGAGGGCAATCGAGGAGCATCCTGGATAATCTCGCGAAAGCGGGCCGCGCGTCACCGAAGCACGCACGGGCAAGAGGGTTCCGCCGGCCCCCGAGGGCGACGCCTCCAATGGAGGCGCCACGTTAACCTTGGAGGGAGCACGCCTCGGCTGCATCATGGCGGAGGAGGAGGAGGAAGAGGAGAAAGAGAGAGAGAAAGAGAAGGAGGAGGCAACAGCATGGCAGCAGCAGCGGCACGAGCAGCAGCAGCAGCAGCAGCAGCAGCAGCAGCAGCAGCCGCAGCAGCCGCAGTAGCAGCAGGAGCCACCCGTGCAGCGCCAGCAGGGGCAGGCTGGCGGAGCGGCGGCGGAGGCGGGTCAGGGACGCCAGCAGCGCCAGCAGCACTCAGCAGCAGAGCGCCAACGGACGCGGCAGCGATTAGGAGGAGGAGGAGGAGGAGGAGGAGGAGGAGGAGGAGGAGGAGGGAGAGGAGGAGGCGGAGGAGGAGAAGGAGGAGGAGGAGAAGGAGGGGGAGGAGGAGGGGGAGGGGGAGGAGGAGGAGGAGGAGGAGGAGGAGGAGGAGGAGGAGGAGGAGGAGGAGGAGGAGGAGCCGCTCAGCCGCGGACCAGTGATGCGATCAGAGCCACAAGCAGAAAAACTTGGAGGTCCGCACGGATTTCTCAGATCCGCGCCGGGGCCCCCTGGCAGCGCCTTTGGCGCCGCCCCTGGCGCGCTCCGATGTGGCGCGGACCTCCGAGTTTTTAAGTTTGTGCCATTTTTCGTTTCCCTGGGCATCAGCAGCAGAGCACCGGCGGAAGCAGCAGCGTCAGTGATGTGATTGCGTCATCGGCTGGTGTTGTCCTCCTAGCAGCGGGGGTACACTCGGCCCCTGCTGACATGTCGCCGTAGCCATTCTCATCAAAGGGTTTGTGGGGCGGCTCGACGCGTCCTGTCCGATCTGTCCGGCAGGAAGCGGGAAAGCAGACAGACGAGGCGGACGAGGTGGCGGAGGAAGAGGTGGAGGATTAAAGGGGAGGCCGCGCAGGAGGGAGAGGGAAGGAAGAGAGGCGTGGGGCAGAGGCGGAGAAGGAGGAGGCGTGGAGGCGGCGGGAAGGGAGGCAGGACGAGGGAGTGCCAGAAGAGGTGGTGGTGGCGACGTCCTGGTACGACCGACACGGGTAGGTAAAGAATGGGGACACAGACCAGCAGCAGTTCCCGTCCGTGGATTGCTGTCTGCGTCGCCGCGGGCGCTGTCCATTCGAGACACAGGCTCGCCTGCCAAACAGCGGCCGTTGCCGGTCCGGGGCAACCTCTGCTGCTGGCCATCGTGCCTGTCTTTCTGTACCCACCGTGCGCGTGCGGAAGGCCTGCTCGTCTTGCTTGTGCCTCGCTGCCGCCCCGAAGGCGGCCGCGCCCGCGAAGAAGAAGAAGAGACCGCCCGCCGCGCCGGACACGCCGCCTCCGTCGCCGTCCCCATCGTCCTCCGACCTGGAGGGGCGGGGTCTCTCACGTCCTGCAGCGGCACGCGCAGGCCCGGGCCGCCCGAGCTCAGAGGGTGGCGAGCTGAGGCAGCGGCTGTCCGCCTTGGGTCAGGTCGGGCCTGTCCCTCGTGCAGAGGGGGATCTGGGGCGAAAGAATTGGAAGCATACTCAGGAAATACCCCCCAAAACAAATGCTAGAAAATAGTCAAAAGATAGTCCCCAGACTATTTATTGACTAGTTTTGAATATTCCTCCTGTAGACGGACAGGCCCGACTTAAACCCTTGGGGGGGGCCCTCCGATGCTGACCTGCCGTCGCCTCAGCACGCCCTGCTCCAACAGGTGGAGTCAGAGCCGACGGGGTCGACTGATCGCGCCGCGTCGCCGATGCATCGGCGATGCGGTTGGATGTGGATCTTTTTTTTCTCCACGCCGACGTCGCCGAACGCGTCGGCGATGCATCGGCGATGCGGTCCGGATCCCCCGACCCCTCCTCTACTCGGGCCGCATTGGGGCGGCATCCAGCAGAAGGAATTGGCTTCGGGCAGTGAGGTCCAGCAACGGGGGACTACACTTCCAGGGGTGCAGGTGTAAAAAAAAGGTGAGGGCAGGATGTGAGGCGCTCAGATGTGGAAGAGGCCGGCCTGGGGACTCACAGGCAGCCCAGCACGAATTGCGCGAGCACGGGAGTCGGCGTGCATCAGCATGATTGACGTTTTGCGTGTCTTCATCATCTTGAATTTAGTTAGTTTTGTTCTGTGCATATGCAACTGCGAGTTTATCTTGCAGGTGCGAGCTTGCCCGCCGACACTGGCGGCTTTGTTCGCAAATTCGCCTCGTTCCGCCTCCCAGACGCCGCTTTCGCTCCCTGACCGTTGCCTTGGAGCCGCCGACCAAAAATGTGTCTTCATCAAGGGTGCGCAGTACTGGTGCGCGCGGACATACCTGGGCCTGCCCAAAGCGAAGAGGTCAATTGGGATATCGCTGGGCACCTTCCCCCCTCGCCCCCTCTACACCGGACAGCTGTAATTACCACCGGAAACAATCAAAGGATTTCTTTGGAGGAACCAGGTGTTTTCTGCTTACGCTTACAAGCTTGCACCTACACGTATCTATGTATATACATATGTGAATGTGTGTTCGTATATCTGTATAGATATAGATAAATGTGATTTGCATGTGAACGTATGTGTTCAGGTGATTAAAAAAACACACAGGCACCATTAATCGTCGATCCCCCTGAGAATATTGGAAAATATGGGAAGTGGCGGGGAAGACAAGAACCCAGGGAATATGTTGAACATATGGGGAATCATGTTCTTTGTGTGTTCAAGAGTGTGTGTGTGTGTGTGTGTGTGTGCCCCAGGGCCCCTTCATGCGTATGTGTGCGTGTAAATATATTTTTATGTGTATCTCTCTATGTATAGATCCACCGCGATATGCCGCCACGAAAGGGCTCGGAAGCGATCGTCACAGCGCTAAGATCGCCCAGGGCCGCAGTCGTCCTGCCATTTCCCCCCCTCCTCCCTCCTCGTCCTCCCTCCTCGCCCCTGCCCCCCAGGCTTTCCTCCTCTTTCCCTCGTCCTCCTCGTCGTCCTCCTTCCTCCTCCCTCGTCCTCCTCGTCCTCCTTCTTCCTAGTCCTTCTCGTCCTCCTTCCTCCTCCCTCGTCCTCCTCGTCCTCCTCCTTCCTCGTCCTCCTCGTCCTCCTTCCCTGGTCCTCCTCGTCCTTCCCTCCTCCCTGTTCGTCCTCCCTCCTCTTCCCTCCTCGTCCTCCTTCCTCGTCCTCCTCGTCCTGCCTCTTTCCTCCTCCGTCCTCGTCCTCCCTTCCTCCTTCCTCGTCCTCCTCCCCCCTCTGCCTCCCTCCTTCCCGTCCCTGCCCCCCCCTCTGGTTTGCTTCTCGGGCTTTCCCGGCAGCTGAAGGATCTGGTACGGCTAGCGTTGAAAGATGGCGTGCGATGTGGCGCCGCTGGCCCGATCATTACACGCTATCCCCCACCTTGCGGGCAGCGTGCACCGAAGGAGCCCTGGCGGGGGGATAGCGCACAGGAGGGGCCCTCGCGAGTGGATCGCCTCACAGGGACAGCGAGCTTTTCGGAGGTCGATGTTGCGCACTAGCGTTCCAACGCCTACCGTACGTCCAGTTGAGGTGTGTCGTTCATGGCGTGTTTCGTGTGCGCGCATCCTCCCTTTGCCTGGCGGTTGCCCGACCCCCTTCCCGCGATGTGCTCTTTCCCCACAGTCAGGTGGCTCATGTTTTAGTGGGAATGTTGACGAGGCCTGTCCGCCTAATGACTATAACCAGTTCAGGCCGTGGTGGAGGCGTGGCTCGCCCCAGCTATCCATTCATGCGGCAGCCGTGAAATCCGCCCGACCGACCGACCGAACGACCGGACAGCGACCGACGGCGACGACCGATGAACGACAATGACGACGACGACGATCGACCGACCGACCGAACGAATGACCGATCGACCCAGCAGCCGAGCGACCGAGCGACCGACGACGACGACGACGACTATGAGCGACGACTACGACCGACCGATTGACCGAGCAAACGAGCGATCGACGACGACGACCGACCGACTGGCAGACCGAGCGATCCACGACGACTACGGCGACGACGTCGACCGACGGCTGAGTAAATGAGTTCATGCAGTGTATATTATCACTATGATCTTGAACTCCCAGGGCAGATTGTTGGTATTGTGTTTATCCGTAGGCACCCTCTTGGCCCGAGGTTATCGTGCGTTTCAGGAAAATATTCCTCCGCCACCATCCTGTCGGATATCATTCGATGTGCTTTCGCGCGTCAGTGGTAGCAGGAGCGTGACACTCCCAGGAGTGTTGGTCGATCCGCGGCACGATGTCGGGTGAACCGAAGGATGGCAACGGCGAGGGACAACGCAGGGCAGAAGACCTAGCGGGCAGGAAGGAATTGTCGGATGGCACGGTGGACTCAGAGGTGTTCACTGGCGAGCAGAAAATTGAGCTTGAGCAGGTGATGAAGCAGCAGCTGGCGCAGACGGAGGCCATGCTGCTGAAGTACCTAGGCAAACACGGCGCGAGCGAGAAGGAAGAGGGTGCTGACCGGCGACCTCGCGATCCGTGGGATTCAGATGACCCGTGGAAGGGTCAAAGTCGGTCGGAGAGCCAGGGCGGAGAAAGAAGAGAATGGTCTCAAGAAGAATGGGACGAGTGGAAAAAGGCCAAGGGCGGCAGGTACGAGAGCGACTGGAAGGACCAGAAGTGGGAGAAGGGCGACTATACGGATCCGGAGGCCTTCATGGGCTGGTCAGACTATAGATTGTGGCGTCGCCGAGTGGTCAGGTGGCTCGACCAGACAGACGTACCGCCGAGGAAGAGGTCCGACAAGATCCTGAAGGTATTAGACAGGGACTTGCAGAGAAAATTCGAGGATATCTCAGACGCGGTGTTGCAGTCAGCTGAAGGGCCGATGACGATCATCAAGCGACTCGACATTATGAGCGGACAACGCATGGACGACGAGAAAAGAAGAGCGGGCCGAGAATGCTTGATGGAATATCGACGCAAAGCGGATGAAACCCTCTCAGTATACACGGCAAGGATGGACCAGAACTTCGAGAGGCTGAAGGGCCAGGGGCTCGAATTAGACGACAGCTGGAAAATATTATTTCTTGAAGAAGGCATAGGACTGGATGAGAGCGGGATGCAGATGCTGAAGGTCATGAGCCGCGGCTCCAAGGACTACGAGGAAGTGATCGGCGCGGCGAGAGAGATGGACGTGACACGCAACGAGCATCTCGGCGCCCGGACGGGCAAGGCCACGGCGGCGACCTACGCACTACAGGATGATGACGACGACCTCTGCGAGTACAGCGACGTATCTTCCATGACGTCGGAGCAGGAGGCTTTCGTGCTGGAGTCGATCGCCGAGGCCGACGTAGACGAGTACGAGTTACCAGAGGTGTTGGCGACGTTGGAAAAGGACAGAAAGAAGACGTGGAAGGAGAACCGGGACTACAAAAGGCAGCTTCGAGTGGATAGAAAATTCTACCAGACCCCGGGGGGGCCTTCGGGCTCCAGGGCGCCGGCACCGCCGCCGCCGCACCCGGGGAGACGTGACGGACAACATCGGAGTGCGAAAGGGATAGTTCGTGAGCGGAAGAGGAGACTTCCGATCGAGAAACTAATGAAGATCACCAAGTGTCATCGATGCCACAAGAAGGGGCACTGGAGCCGAGAATGTCCCGAGAAGGGAGACTCGACGGGAGCTGCAGCGGGAAGCGGGTTCGTGCTGCTCAATGAATCGGAGCCGAGCTACGCGATCCTGGCCTCGGAGAACATCAACTCGATCAACGCGCGCGGGTTGATTCACCAGGTTGTGGACCGCATCAGATCCGAGAAGGTCGAGGCCATGAGCCTGCTGGTCACAGGCTCAGGGGACATCGTGGTGGACGCGGCGGCGGGCCAGGCGCTGATCGGGCCGCAGGCACTGCAGAGGCTGGAGAAGCGTCTCGGCGAGCTGGGCTTCCGAGTGGTTCGGGTCAAGAGCAAGCACCAGTTCGCGAGAGGTGTCGGCGGGAAGACGCCGGTGCAGTCAGGACTCCTGGTCCCCACAGGCATCGAGGGCAAGACAGGCATCATGGAGCTGGACCTGATCGAGCAAGACGTGCCGGCCCTGATGCCGATCAGTATGCAGGAGCAGATGAAGGCAGTGATCGATCTCCCGAAGGCCGAGATGACTCTGAGGGCGCTAGGGGTGACCACCAGCTTGAAGCGGCTGTCGAGTGGTCATCGCACGATCGCGATCGACAAGCTCGGCAGCCCAGAGGGTTTTGAGCTTCCGGAGGCTGTCCGGAAGCGTTTCGGACTGCAGGCGTCTGACTTTCGCCTGAGCTCGAGCGAGAGCTACGTGCTTCCTCCTCCCGCTCGGTCGTCCTCCCTCGTGTCGTCGATGTCGTCTACGGAACGGCCGACTCGGAAACCCAGGGCCGATTGGGCTCGTATCGAGAAAGACCCGGCCTCGCTATCGAAAGTGATCAGCAACGACACCCAGAAGCATCAAGGAGGACCTCCAAGTGCAGGTGAGCACCTCTTTCCCCCCCCCCCCTCTGGTTCTGGAGGCCCTCGAGGCGTTCCGGGAAACTCAGAGGCCTTTCGGCGGATGTCTTGGGAGGCGGTCTCTCCTACTCCTTTTTCGTCCCGTCGTCGACGTCGTGATCCGACGCATGTGGCCATTTCTGGGCCGAGCGGTTTGAGGAGAACGTTTCGAGACGCTTTCTCTCACACGGGCTGCAGATGCCATGGTGACGCACTGGAATCGAGCCGAGAAAACGCTTCTGCAGGCGATGACGGGCTCCACCGCGAGCGACAGTGGCGAGCCGCAGTGCGTCAAGTACTTGCTGACCGGAAACGAGTATCCGAACGGGCTGTCGGTGGGAGACAAGTTCTGGGCGTACCTCAGCTCCAGGATCGTGGCCGATCACCAGCACAAGGGGCTGAAGCTGCTGCACATGTTCCAGAACGGCCACCAGTGGCCAATCAAGACCAAGAAGGCGGACAGGTTCTACACGGAGCGCCAGATGAAGTGCAGTCATTCCTGGGCACGTCTCATCAGTTTCGGCAATTCCCACGGCAGTTGGGAAGTCTGCGGGGACTGCGACATGAGGGTCTCGTACTTCCAGAAGGCGTCCGTCATCTACAAGGGGAAGGGCAAGTCGCCTCAGAGCGGCTCGACGGTGCTGAACGTGAGCGACCTCACCAAGCCCCCCGGGGGCAGGGCATCGGCGAGGAACTCGGTGGAGTGCACGAGGGTCGCTCTCGTGACGACGACGAGCGACCGGGGGCCGACCCAGGGCTCGGAGGAGCCGATGAGGGTGAAGAAGCGCTCCGAGGAGATGGTGCAGTATCGGGCTTTGGAGGCGCCCATGGAAGTAGACAGCACAGGTCCAGCACGCCCTCGCCAGCACGCCCCTCGTGCGTCGCTGATCAGCGAGATCAAGAGCATGAAAGAAGAGATGACCAACCAGAATCACGGCCTGCTCGCCCTGGTGGTGGAGCAGGGAAAAGCCATTCAGCACATCCAGGCGGCGCAGCTCGGCATCCAGGAGAAGCAGGCCATGATGGAGAGGCAGATGGCGATCGAGGACCAGCCGAAGACGCTGCCGCCGCAGGTGCCGGCCCAGGCGGCGTTCCCCGTCGGGTGGGAGACGATCGAGTCGCCTCCGACCGCCGGCAGTGCCGGCAGCGGACCAAGCAGTCCCTGAAGGACGGCAGGTGCTTGCACGGCCTGAGTGAGCTGCCCGAGGCGGAGAGCCTCGATCGGATTCTAAGCAGCGCCGGATGGCGAGCGCACGAGACTTTCTTTTTCCAGGAAGAAGCGCCCCACTATCTTGGGGAGGACGGGAGGGTGAACCTGATTAGAAGGCCAGATGGAGTGTGGGCGACGGAGAAGGAGGGGAGCGCTTCTCCAGACGACCAGGCAGAGCGCTTGGTGGCGATGTCCCTGCCTGTTTGGCGGGATCTGTTGCTCTCGGGCGAGTTTAATGACGATTTCGAGGCGATCGCCTCCAGGAGGGAAAAGAAAGCATGTGAGAAGGCCCTGCGCTTCTCGGCAGGACCATCCCACGGTGAAGGACGGCTTCCAAGAGGGGCGCAGCTTCCACCAGAGGGACAGCTTCCAGGAGGGGAGCAGCTTCCACCAGACGGACAGCTTCCCCATCCGGAACGAGAAACTCAGGGACCCTTCGAAGACCGACCTCAGGGAGCATCCACCCGCTCCCCGGCTTGCCTAGCGGCTGTCCGCAGTCAGACCCCCAAGTCCGAGAGACTCGAGGCCTCCAGGAGACGGCAGTGGGCCGACAGGGCCTTTGTCGAGGTGTATTCCCCTCCTCGGATCGGTCCCGAGGTCCAGAAGCGCAGGATGGGATGTCTTGGGAGTTGGGATTTGGAAACCGGATGGGACTTCAGAGAGGGGGGGGTCAGACTTGCGGCTAGGCAGCGCCTGAGAAAAGAGAAGCCAGCAGTTGCCATGATGGAGCCCCCGTGCCAGACACGCAGCGCCATGTTTAGGGTCAGCAAGGGGTCCATGGATTCCGAGTACCGCGAGGCTCTGATCTCGGAGGGCCTCACTCACCTTCATCATGCGGTCGACCTGGCCCTCATCCAGTACCGCGGAGGGCGCTCCTTCGTGCTGGAGCACCCTGACACGGCGTCGTCCTGGGAGGACCCCAGAGTGGTCCGATTGGCGGTGCTTCCGGGCGTCCAGGCGGTTTCGTTCGACATGTGCTGTTTCGGTCTCACGGTGGATCCCGAGGGCAAGTTGTCCAGGAAGCGAACTAGACTGCTGACAAACGACCCCATAGTGATCGAGATGTTCAAGAAATATCAGTGCTCTGGGGACCACGAGCACTTCGTTCTGGAAGGTCGGGCGGTGACTCGAAAGTCCCAGGTGTACCCCGAGGCCTTCTGCAGGCACATGGCCGAGACCGTCGCCAAGATCGTGTCTTCCATGGCACGCAAGTCAGCCCACCCCGAGTCGTTCTGGGGACTGATAGATCAGGTCAACTCTTTCCCAGTAGGAGCGTCGGGAGGAGCGGCCCCACCCGTGAGGGAAGACGATATCGATCTGGACTCTGAAGAACAGGACGCGGACATGGGCTCTGGAGATCTCGACCCGATTCCAGAAGGCGAGGAAGGGGGAGAAGAGGATGAGCCCGACGAGGCTCAACCTCCTCTCACCATCGACGCCCGCGTCAAAGACCTGCTGTATAAGGTTCACGTCAATCTGGGACACCCTCGACTCCCCCTCTTCATTCGTGTTCTGAGGGGGGCTCACGTTCGCCCCGAGGTCCTGGAGTACGTGAAGGCGTCTTTCTCGTGTCCTGACTGCGACGCCCACCCCAAGGCAGAGCAGAGACGAAGGGCGGCTATGCCTCACACGTTTCAATTTAATCGCGTGGTGGGGATAGACGTGTTTTACGTTTCCTTCGAGGGCCGTTCTATTCCTTTTTTGAACGCGGTGTGCCACGGAACGAACTACCAAGTGGTAGCCAGGTGCAACGGATATGGGACCCCAACGGCCCGGAGTGCGTGGGAAGCGTTCGTGGGATCGTGGATCCGATATTTCGGCCCCCCGGAGTTGGTGCTTTCGGACGGCGGAGCCGAGTTTCAGGCCGAGTTCCTCAGGGGGCTGGAGCAACAGGGCGTGTTCCAACACGTGGTGAACGCGGAGGCCCCTTGGGAAAACGGCCGCGCGGAGAGACACGGGGGCTGGGTCAAGGACCTTCTGGACAAGGGATCGGAACAGACCGTCGTCGCCACGGAGAAAGAGCTCGAGATCCTGGCGCACGAGGTAGTAGCCTCGAAGAACAACTACCTTCACCGGGGGGGGTTCTCTCCGAACCAACTCGTTTTCGGGCGAAATCCACGTGTTCCACACGAGTTGATGTCTGATGACCCCCTCGGTTTGGTCGGCCAGCAGGATCTCGACGAGACGGCGTGGGACCAAGATACCGCAGCAGCGGACTTCGCCAGAGCAATGAGCATCCGACGTTTTGCTAGGACCCAGTTGTTTCAGAAGGGAAGCCAGGCCCGAGTGAAGGCCGCAGCCAAGGCATCGAGACACCGCGACACCAGGTACAGTCCCGGAGACTGGGTTTACGCGTGGCGCAGGGCCCCGAGGGCCCAGCGCAAGACCTACGCGCTGCAACGCGATAGGTGGACCGGCCCCGGGGTCGTGGTCTTCCAACACAACAACAGTGTCTGGGTGTCGATGAGGTCTCGATTATGGAAGTGCGCCAGTGAGCAGCTGAGACCCGCCACCGGGCCCGAGGCCAGGGGGGCGGAGATTCTGCAGGATCCAGCCGTGGCCTCCATGATCCGAGAGGTGCAGTCTGGCGCGCACCAAGGAGGGGTTAACGTCATGAGGGAAGGCCCACCTCCGGCGGAGGCGTGGGAAGAGCCTGTTCCCCCCGCAGACGGGTCTACCTCAGCTCCTCTTCCCTCCATGCTTCCTCCCGAGTCGCCGGGATCCCTCGGCGACGCAGGACGCGATGAAGTTCCTCAGAGAGCGGAAGAAGCTCCAGCAGGCGCCAGAGAGACCGGTGCACCACGTGACGAGGAACCGTTCAGGCCCGAGAGGCAGGTGTCTGTCGGAGAGTCGACTCGGTCATGCCCCCGTCCGGGCCATCACCTGCTCCCTCCGTGGCTCCCTCCGGGTCGGTTGCTCCGAGTGCTGTCGGTCCGCCTCCTGGTCCCTCCGAAGGCGATATTGAGTTGCAGAGACAGGAGGCCATCCGTAGAGCTCGTCTGTTAGACTTCGGGGAGATGAGAAGGCGTCCACAGGGTGACAGGGACGCGGCCTTCCAACAAATGCGAGAAGAACAGACCCGACGTCATCGGGCTCGTTTAGGTAACCTTCCCCAGCCAGCGGTGGACCCGAGCGGAAGTTCGGATGGGCGAGTAGGTCGCATGATCGCCGACTGGGATAGGCTCGGTTCGGCGGCTCCTTCCGCTTCGGACCCGGAAAGGAGGTCTCCGGGTCGAGGTCAGGCGGGTTCCGAAGAGAGGCCCGACGCCATGACGGATGTGGTTCCCATGTCTCTGTCGGAAGAAGAGCTCGGTCAATATTTTCTGTCCCTTCAGGAGGGCATGACCGAGAGGGGATGGAGCGGATCTTGGGTGGAGTTCGGAAACGGAAACGCCGACGTGGAGCTGGTCCCGGGGGAAGGGTCCGAGGCAGGAACGTTGACCTTGGCTGCTTCGCGGGGCTCGGAAGTTTCGAAGAAGCGTCTGAGTTCAGAGGAAGCGGCTGAGTTCGACGATGCCGACGCCAAGGAATGGAAAGCCATCATGGACACCCAAGCGGTGCGGGTGCTTCCCCCCGAGGAGGGTCGCAGGCTCCGTGAGAGGTATCCGAATCGAGTCGTGTCTAGCCGCATGGTGAGGAGGTGGAAGCCGCAGGAGGGGACTTTCTCGCGACCCAAGGCCAAAAGTCGGTGGTGTGTTCGGGGTCACGAAGACGAGGACACCGGAGAGCTCCGAGTGTACTCACCCACTCCTCAGATGGAGAGCCTTATGTTGTTTCTGACGATGTCTCTGGCGCTCGATATGGATATCCAGATCGGAGATCTCAAGAATGTTTTCTGTCAGAGCGATCCCCTGGTTCGTCCCCGTGGGAGAGTCTTCGTGGAGCCATGCGAGGGACTATCCATCCCCCCCGGTTCCTTAATAGAGCTCATCGCCCCTGTGTATGGGCTGGACGACGCCCCACTGGCTCTCCATCGCACCACCGTGTCGTTTTTCGAGTCGAGGGGGTATGTTAAGTCCAAGCTGGAGCCGCGCTGGATGACGAAAAGAGGTCCCCGGGGTCCCGAGTCCATGGTTCTCATTGAGGTGGACGACTGGTGCATGGCCCACCTCCCTTCCGTCCAGGCCGAGGAGCTGAAAAGCTACAGAGAGCGTTTCGATTTTGGCAAGATGGTGAGGCTCGACGCTTCGGGGGTAGATTACATAGGTCGCCGGTTGAGGAGGCTTAATGATAGGATTCTTGTGGATCAGGAAAAGTACATCCTGGAGCAGATACACCGTCTTCCCCTCCCTCGTGCCCGTCGATCCAACCACGATGAGCCACTCGTCGGCCGCGAGATCTCGGATTTCCGATCCATGGTGTATCGTCTCAACTGGGTCGGTCGGGAGACGCGAGCGGAGGCGTCGGGAACTGCCTCCTTGCTCGCGAGTAGGGTCACGCATCCTACCGTCGGGGACGCCGTGGTGCTGAATAAGATGGTTGACCACCTTCGTCAGACTGCCAATGTGCCTATCATCGTTTGGCGTTTCAATATTCGTTCTATGCTGTTCGCTACGGCCTCCGACTGCGGCGGAGTCGCGGCGAATAGCGGGGACAAGCCCCAGCAAGCGTGGCAAGTATATGCCGCTGATGCTGCTTTGTCCCGCGGGTCCCGGGCCCGAGTCACCCCATTGGCATGGCGCTCGTGTCGGGTGAAACGTCAGGTTCCTTCGACGCTCGCCGGAGAGGTTCAGTCACTGAGCGCGGCCCTCGCGGAGGCCGAGTGGCTTCAGATGCTGTTCTACGATGTTCTCCAGGGCAACCTTCTAGATGACTCCTGGAGATCCCACATAGGCCCCTTTGCCTCAGTGCTGCGCAGGAGCTGTACCCTGGACCTGACCCCCGAGGGAAATATCAGCGTGGTGGATGCCAAGGGCATCTTCGATACGTTGGATAAGGAGACCTCTGGCAGTAAGAACGACAGAAGAGCTGCGATCGATCTCGCAGTGTGCAGGGACTCTCTAGGACGCGTTGGGGGAGTAGTTCGATGGGTCCCACATCCCATGATGCCCGTAGACGTGATGACAAAGGCAGACCTCTCCAAGTCAAACGCTGCGCAGCTGCAGCTGCTGCGCTCAGGTCTTTTGCAGATCACCTCCGAGAGCACGGCCTTGGAGAACCGACGGCAGGACCCGTCGTCCAAGGGCCGTTCTCGAGCCGCATCCGTTAGGCAGCTGGAGGCCGAGTCTGCTGGTCCGTCGTCGCTGTTGTCGTCGTCCTCGTCTCTTTCCTTTCTCCCATTTCAGACCCCGTCGGTGGAACCGACCCGGTCAGGCTACACTGTGCGATTTGATGGCAGCAGGCCAAGAGTTACCGACGCCACCTCAGTCTGAGGGTGCCCCTTTTTCAGTTTTGATTTAGTGGAGTTTCAAGCTCACTAAAATGGGGCGGACTGACTAAATGAGTTCATGCAGTGTATATTATCACTATGATCTTGAACTCCCAGGGCAGATTGTTGGTATTGTGTTTATCCGTCGGCACCCTCTTGGCCCGAGGTTATCGTGCGTTTCAGGAAAATATTCCTCCGCCACCATCCTGTCGGATATCATTCGATGTGCTTTCGCGCGTCACGGCGACGACCGACAACGACAACGACGACGGCAGCGACCACCGACCGACCGACCGGCCCAACGACGACAGAACGACAGGGACGGCGGCCAACGGATGGCGACGACCGACGGACGACGACGACAGATCGACCGATCAACAGCGACGAACGACGACGACGAGACGACGAAGACAACGACGGACGGACCGACCGAACGACGACGACGAAGACAACGATGGACGGACCGACCGACCGACCGACGACGACGACCGACGATACCGACGGACGCCGTCGAAGGCCAAACCTAGAAAGCCGACAGCGAACGGTCGATGCCAAATTTGGAACGGGCAAGGTCAAATTCTGGAAGGGAGCGCTTCGAGGACGCGACCCCACCTCGACCTTTCCACCACCCGGAGATGGGGGTTCCGTTTTTAGTAATATACAAGGGAGGGGCGGTTGCAGGCGAATGTACCACCTCGGGCTCCGAAACGTGCCAAAACCTATTGGTTTTTTGAGACCACCCGCTGTGGCCGAGTGAACCCGAATCAACCGCGAATAAACCACCGAATGTACCCCCCACTGAACCCTCCCCAGCGCCCCAGACGGACCCCGACTCAACCCCCCAGTCGTCGTCGTTGTTAGTCGTCGTTGTTAGTCGGCCGTCGCCGTGGTTCGCCGCTGTCGCTAATCGTCGTTCGTCAGCCGTCGTCCTGAGTCGGTCTGGCGGTCGTCGTCGTCCTCGTCGTCGTTGAAATTGTACTATTCGCAATAATCATCTGACTGTACCTCGCCCTATGTATAATACACTCCAGATCCGAGCGTTGCCATTTTCCATATATCAGATGCTGGTTCGATTGCACATGCACCCGGTTCTACAAACACAATTGGATAACGCAGCGTGAGCGATGGGCGGAAAGGGTATTGTGGCAGACATAATTAGCCCCTCTCCCCCTCGCATCTGCCATGTCCCTCTCTTCCCACCTCCCCCAAAACATGAATCGTTATATGGGGGGGACGGGTCTACGATACTTCAAATACGTGTGTCCTTGGTTCTCAAGTGTCAAGTAAAGGCCAGGAGCGGGGCAGTGGTTGGAAGGTGGCGCCTCTGAAGAAAAGGATAGCCAAGGACGCCGAGGTCGCGAAGAAGGCCAAGACAGCGCGGAATGCATTCGGCGTGGCTGCGCCACGCAAGAAGGCCGAGAAGGCAAATGACGAGAAAGAGGCGGCAGAGTTCGGTCTCTTGCAAGCGGAGGCAAGGCAGGGCGGGAGATGTCAGGGTTGGCAGGAGGCTTCCTGAGGAAGGCTGTTCTTCAGGAAAGAATTCCTGCAGGGGGGTCCGGGAATTGCCACGGCGGTCTCGGCATTCGAACCACCAGTCGATGAGATTGCATGGAGGGTGGGAGTATGGCGATTGCGTCGGCACGATGAGGCGTATGTTTGTTCACGCCCGTGCATTTCGAACGCAAGTACGCGCAATTTCAGTTGCGTGCGCAGGCGCCCTGCTTTAGAGGTCATGAGGAGTGGAACGGCGACACGCAGTGTAATCCTTCTCGTGTGCGCTGGAGCCTGCTTCAAAGGCGGAATCGAAGAAAGCCAAGGACGACGAGTCTTCAGATGACGATTCCGACTCGGAGTCCGAAGCGGAGGCGGCCAAGAAGGAGCGCCGGGAGCTCGAATGCAGCAGTTCCCTGTGACCGTGTCGGGCGGAGCCCGCAGAGCGGGAGCCACGGCGGCCCTTCGGGAAAGTAGCCGGCATATTTCTCGGGAACCACGGACGAGGAGGAGGAGGAGGAGGAGGAGGAGGAGGAGGAGGAGGAGGGGGGGGACTTGTGCAAACCCAAGACTCATCAACGATATTGCCATAAACCCTCCCTCCAAGTTCCCTCCCCATCAGCCCCATGCACAGGTTGATGTTCACTGAGAAAAAGGCGCCGTTCGAAGACAACCGTTTGAGAATCCAGAGACTGTGCCAGAACACCGCTCCTGGGACATCAACGCTGCGAATCACCGTGACTGTTGCGTCTTGATGATCCTGGATCGTGCCAGAACGTCCTTCCTGGGACTTCAACACCGCGAATCTGCGTGACTGTTGCACCCTGACGTTCCGGCATCGTGCCCAAACTCAATTTCCGGGACCTTGGCCATCAGCACCTCTGAGATTCCTGCAGACTCTTCAGACGAAGGGTCGCGGCGCCAGGGCGCGGGCCGCATGTTGAGGAGAAGCCGCCCTCCGTCGGCGAAGTTCTCTTGCGAACTGTTTGAAACGAGTGCGCGCGGCGCAGATCTCGCGAATTCCGTCCGTGAAGCTCTTGCAAACTCTGAGCTTCCGGATTGTACATCGGGCCGAACGAAAGGGGGGGATAGGGAAAGGGGGGGTTACGAAATCTGCTGCACGCAGCTGGTTTCGGCCCCGCCTCCGGGCCCATCCGTCGATACATGGGCGCCTCCCGGCGCCGGGAGGCGCCGGGAAAATCAGCTACGTGAGCTGATTCTCAAACCCCCCCTTTGCTATCCCCCCCTTTCGCCGGGCCCGTGCAAATTGTGAGGAGGTCTCAGGCGAAACGTCCAGCACGCCCTATCGACCAGCCTCGGGGTGCGACGGGGAGGAGTTGTCTGCAAGGAGAGGGGGTTCAGGAAGAAATTGCATGTTGGCGTATGTTGAGACCGCCTTTTGGGCTCTAGGAGAGAAGGGAGGAGGTAGGAGGGAGTCAGGGAGGGAGGGAGGGAAGAGGAGGCGGAGGAGAAGGAGGAGCAGAACCTTAGTAAGAACAAGAAGCATTGGAGAGAGCGAGGAAAAGGAGCAGGAGACGGATTATTCTGATTAGGTCGAGGTGGATGAGGAGAAGAAGGGGAAGGGTATGAACGACGAGGTGGGGGAGGCGGAGAGAGGAGGAAGCACGCTTGCCAGGAGGAGCAGGTGACGAAGAAAACCAAAGAGGACCTGGACGCGCAGAAGCAACAGGCGGAATTGGAGAAGAAGGCCTGCCAGGGCGGGACATGGCCAATGCTCACTGATTCCTCGCTTCTCCTTTTACTTCGCCCCTGCTGTTCCTCCATAATCCCCGCCCTCCCTACTTCTCCTTCTGTGCCCCTCCCATAGTCCTCGCTTTATCTCCCATTATCCTCCTTCGTCCTACCCCGGCTCCCCCATCTTCTCTTGCTTCACCCTCCCTCCTCCTGTTTCTCCTCTATATTTCTCCTCATCCCTCCTCCTCCTCCTCCTCCTCCTGCCGCTGATCCACCTCCTTGTACTTGCCCTCATTATGTTGCTGCTCCAGTCTAAACCCACATGCTGCTTCTCTTGTTCGCTGCTGCCCCTTATCCCCGCCCCCTCCTGCCCGCACACTCGATCATTTCTCATCCTCCCCCTCCGCCTCCATCACCTCCTTCGCCTGACCAGTCTCATCCTCGCTGTATTGTTTGATCTCATCCAATTCGTGCGCCCGCTGTTTATACTCCCTCCCATCCCTTCCTCTACTGTTTTGCATCTCGGTCGCTTTCGGTCTCTTGTTCGGCCCCCCCTCGTCGCCGCTGCGATCTGATGCGGCTCGTTTTCAAGGGAGTGGGAGCTTGACGCTAACCCGCGTCCAAATAAACTCGTGCGCAATCGAGCCTCCCAAGCGCTGCTGGATGTTATCCAGACGGACCCCTAGCCAGCGGGGAGGTCCCGGAGGAGCAGCCGGGCCACCGGCAAGTGGCCTTTTGTTTGGTGGCGATCTCTCGGCAGTGCTCGCTGCGACCGTGCTCGGCGCTTGCAGATTTTTTGGGGCTTGCCTGGGTCACCTGGCCTGGACTGGCGGCCAGCCAACTCCTAGGTTTAAGTTGGGCCTGTCCCTCTACAGGGAGAACATTCAAACATAGTAAAAAATAGTCTGGGGACTATTTTTGGAGTATCTTTAAAACAATTTTCGATTATTGTTTGAGTATTGTTTTTTTCCGTAGAAAATCCCCCTGTAGGGGGCACGCCCGACTTCATCCTAGGTGTTTTGTGGCCTTCGGCCCATCCTTCGGCGACTACAGGGGATGTGGTTAACCCAGGGTGTGGTTTGCGATTTGCGTCGTTGGATCTTTGAGGGTACCGCGTTGCCCTCGTCGGGCCTCGCAGGAGCGAGGCGGGGGACTCTATCGAGGTCCTCGCCCGCCCCCTGGGGTGCGGGTTGCAAACCGTACCCTCTGCAAAGTACACCCTTCGGAGTCGCCGAATCCTGCCAGGTCAGACACATCTTGGATGCCCGTTGGGATCTCTTGAGAGGCCTCTCGGATGCAGTTATGCGGGGTGTCTTGGGGCCTCTTGAGGCCTCTCGGGGGCCTCTTGAGGCTTCTCGGGGGCCTCTTGGAGCACTCCACTACGTGCTGAGGGCTCGGGGGCGGATGTCCCTCCCTACCATCTAAGGTCCGGCAGCAGAAGCTCCGTGAGGAGATCGACCGGAAACTGCGAGAGAAGAAGGAGGGGATGCGCGATTAGAGGTGGCCTCGGGGGAGTGGTAAGTAGAGTGTTAGCTGTGAAGGAGAAGTGTATGGACTGGCCACAGAGCGGCCGAGGGGCTGCAGCTTGAAAGACGAAAGTGGAGGGAGGGGGAGCAGAGGAACAGACGGTAGAGGTGGAGGGAGCGGAGGTGAGTAATAGAGGGGAGATAGGAGAGGGGGGGAAGGTGGGTGTCTTCGCGCCATATTTGTTATCCTACATACCCCTCCCAACTATCCCATCCAGCTGTGCTGATCGTTATATTTACATATGTGTGTAATGATATACAGACTATACATCGATATATGACTATACCCGCCGACGCGAGTCCTAGCGGACCTGGAACTCCCAAAAGGACCCCGTCGTTTCATGCGCAATCGGAAAAAGTGGAGTTGCGTACATTTAGAGGAGGAGGTGACGGGTGAGGAGGAGGAAAAGAAGGAGGTGTGGAAGGAGCGGGAGGAGCAGGAGAATAGGCGAATTAGGGGAAGGCAGAGCAGGGCAAAGAAGGGGGACGTCAACGATGAGGAGGGAATCGCATCCAGAACAGTGGCCCGCGCTGGGGCGAGAGCGCCTTTTGGAACGACGGGAGCAAAGCGCCGATCCAAGAGTGAGGCCCACGCTGCAGCGGGGGTACATGTTGAAACACCGAGATCGTTCCGATTGGAACGGAATCATCGGAAATTATGAGATGGAGGAATCTTGTGAGTGAGAGACGGCACGCGGAGAGGGTGGGAGATCTTCCGCACAAAGTCAGTACGTACAGTCGACCCGCACAGTAAGAATGGGCAACCTTCCCAAGGGTACCCTTGCATCCTTGCCTCCTCGGTCCATCCCTCGCCGCTTTCGCCGGCCGCGCCCCGCTCGAGAAGCTTCGACATGGGCGTCCAGGGCCCTTGCGTCCTCACCGCGCACCCTTGCTGCACGGGCTGACGGCAGTGGGCCTGCCCCTCGGCTCGGAAAGGGGGCTCGGGCCGCCCGGCCGCTCCTCGGAGAGATCGAGGCCGGGGAGCCCGATCGCGGCCGAGGCGCGCCGTGGCCGGGAAGCCGTATCGCTCTCAGCGCTCCCGATGGTGGCGCGATGGATGTACTTCGGGCCGTTCTTCTCCTCCTGGCGCTTGGGGAGGAGGAGGAGGAGAAGGAGGAGGAGGAGGAGGAGGAGGAGGAGGAGGCGGAGGCGGAGGAGGAGGAGGAGGAGGGGGCGCTCTGGGTTTCGGGCCTCTCTTCAGGTCTGGGTCGGGGGAACCCAATCCCGAGGCCGAGGCTCGCCGTGGCCGGGAGAGCCCCGTCGCTTCTCCCCTCTGGCGTGCCCTCTGGCGGTGCCGTGGCTGCGGCGCCGCCGGGGAGGTCCCCGCTCACGAGTCGCACGGCGACAATAGCACAGATCAGGCAATCGATTTTGGCCTCTTATGAGTATAAGGTCTTGCTCATGTCTGGGATCGAGAACGCTGTTTCTCGAGGGTGACTCCCCAATCAGCGCTTGCACTGAAGGGGTCCTAGCGGGAGTGCGAAAGTTTCCCGCCGATTTTGGTAGCAGGCTGGGTTCTTCCCGGGTTTCTTGGTTCCGGGTTCCCGGGTTCCCGGTTGTTGGTTCCGGGCCGATTTTGGTGGGTTCTGGGTTCCCGGGTTTCTGGATTCCCGGTCGATCTCTTCAGCGAAAACCATCCATTTATTGATGTTTTTCTCTGGTGTACTTGTGGATGGCCTGTAGCAAAGGAGGCGGCGGGAGCGGGGAGCGCAGGAGAGAGAAGGGAGCGGTGCGACGCGGGGCGAACTGGAGAGCCACGGCGAAGGGTGGGCGGGGCAGGAGAGGGGTCTGACTTCCACATGAAAGGTTCCTCCGTGTCGGCACTTTGCAGGGCTCGTTTCGATTCCCCCGGTTCGAGTCGATTCGATGTCGATGGTTTCCGATTCCGGTTCGATTTGATTTGGAATTCCAGTTTGGGTTCCGATTTCTCATTGGAGGCAGATTCGCTTGCCGATGTCTGCCGATTAGATTTTTCCCGGTTTAGCTGCCGATTTCCGCCAATCCGATTAATTTCGATCGCCGATCCGACTCATTGATTGGATTCTGGGCTCTCCTGACTTTTTCGGTGCCACGGAGTACCTCTCGGAGTGAAGCAACACGAAAAGCGGGACGTGATATTAGGCGGATCGGAATGCAGTCAAGACCAGGTGTGGATTTCAACGAGAAGTTGGATTGAAGCTTGGGGCCGCATGGCGGGGCACGCTCCGTAGCAGATCGGCTTCTTAAGGTTTTGGTGCACAGTCGCGCACTGGCAGGAGAGGGTCTGGAGCAGGCGGGCGAGGGGAAGACCAGGAAGGCGGAGGAATGGTCCCGCAGGTCTGCTACGCTGGCCCCTCTGGGCTCTTGCCGGTGCTCCATGCGGGCGCCCCCCAGACTGGGAGTGTTCATCAAGACAGTCTGGGCCGCGTCCCTGATACACGCTTTGGCCGTCTGTAGAGTACCCTTTCTTGTCCTCCGCTCACGTGTCATGGCTCACGGGTTCGTCCTCTGACTCCTTCGTTGCGGGTAATTTCCCGTGCACTTTTCGGCACCTTCCTCTCCGCTTCGTCGTGTGGCCACTCTGGGGCCAGGACGCCCAGGTACAGTCAAGGAGGCTGGGGAGCGGTCGAAGCGATGCCGCCTGGGCAGGCTGGGCAGGGCATGCTCGCTTATCAGGAGGGGAAAAAACACACAGAGACACAATTAATCGTCGACTACAACTAATCGTCGACTCCCAGGAAAATATGAGAAAATATGGGAGGTGGGGGGAAGACATAAACTAGAACATATGGGAAAATCTAAGGGGAATCCTGGGATGTGTGTCTATCTAGTTGTGTGTCCTTGGACCCCTTCAGCTCAGGAAGGTGGGGAGCGGGGGAGGAGGCGGGGGATGGGATGGAGGAGGAGGAGGAGGAAGAGGCGGAGGCGGAGGCGGAGGAGGCGGAGGAGGTAAGGCCTGGCTCGGAATGCTCCCTGGTTTTTTCCAGCCGTCTTGATTTTTCCAGCCCTTTTGGAGCCTTGGGGGTCCTCTGGGCCTGGTGACGGTGGGGGTTCGTGGAGGGGGGGTGTTATCCCAAGGTTCAGGCGATCATAAACGTGGATCAATGTGGCGTGGAGTAGCGACGGGTCCCATCACCATGGGAAATAGCAGATTTCCGCCGCCGAACGAGGCGGCACCGGCAGCATTTGGGGGAGGGCACCTCCCCCGATCCATGGATTTGGCGACCGCGCGCCAATCCATGGATCGCCAATCCCTAATCCATGTTTGCGCGCCCCCGAAAGGTGGGATTAGGGAACGAGGGGCATGTGGAGCGATGTTGCTCCATCCCCACCTCTGCCCCTGCCTCACCTTTTACGTCCCCTCGGGACGGGTGTTCGGGAGTCCCATTTGGGCGAGCAGCGCCGCAGCGTGTTCGCATCACGTGGCTGCGGCGTTGCGCGGTTCTTGCGTTGCTCTTTGGGCTTCTTTTGCGGGGTTCCTCGGGATGGCTATTGGTGCCCCTGGCGTTTGTGGGGTGTTGGGGCCGCTTAGGGGGGGAGTCTTGGCATATTGGTTTCGTCGTTTGCCGTTCCAGGGCTCGTCCAGCATATGTTGTGTTGTTTGGCGGATGTCGTATGCTGTGCTAGTGTTGACCAGCGATGTGCCATTTGTTGTGTTGCCATGTTCTGTGGCGGCTCAGTGTAGCACGCCGCTGTTTATTTTATTTGTTATGTTGTTGTGTTACTGTTTCAGTTCTTGGCGCCCCATTTGCACGTTTGTGTATGTGTAGGTGTTTCTTGAGTTTAGGGGTGCAGCACATTATCTAGCGAGGCTGTCGTTATGGTGCCGCACTCGCACTCGAGCTCGCATGTTGGCGGTAACGCGTGGCTCGCACTCGCAGAGAACAGCACATCATAATCATTCGAATTAAGATCCGTAGCCATTTTGGCTCAAATTTGGGACCAAGTGGGAATTGGCCTCTGCTAACCTTACTATATTGAATAGGGAATCGTGCGTGAAGATATGTCAAGGCTTGCAGGCGAGAACCCGCGAGGTTTGGGTGCAGACGTGCGCAGATTCAGGGCACTGCAAAACGCATCCGTGACGATTTCCGTGGGATGGTTCATCGTTCTGCTCAGCGCTAGTAATGTGCCACCCTTTTCTTTTGCCCTGTGGCACAAGAGCAATTCTTTAAGCCTCATTCGAAGATTAAGCAGTGCTACGGACGACCTGAACAACCCAGCATTTCCAAATACTTCTGGCGCCGATGCGCCGTCAACTTTGCTGTTATCAGATGCGCTGAAGACGAATGGAACCGCGCTGGCGGGCCGAGCCGACACAGTTGAAGCTCTGAAGCTGACTGGCCAATTGATGCAAGAGTGTGTCGTGTTCTTGAGCACTCTCCTTTGGTCCTCGTTCTGCCTAGCATGGCAGAAAGGTGTACATGTGCGTTACGGGATCTTTGCTGGAATCGCGCGGTTGGCATCAACACTTATTGTGTTCGCGTGGGCGCACTTTCGCGGTAGATCCGGGTTCCACAGTTTGTTCCGCTACGGGGCTCTAGGGGATGCCGACGGAATGAGTCTCTTTTCGCCTACCCAATGGATTGGTCTATCGGGCGACGAAATCTATACATATCCATTGCTCCCTGGCCAGGCCCACTCTGAACCCAGGAGCTGTGTATACGCCCTCCTGGCCCAGCCAGGAGGGTGTGGCGTATACACTGCTGCTGGGTTCACGGTGTGCCTGGCCAGGGAGCAGTGGATATGTATAGATTCGGTCGCCCTAGGTCTAAATGGTTCGCGCTACGAAGTGCGTTTGGAGCATGATCGGAACGTTGTGTACGCCCTGGGCCCAGACGCACAAATATCAGATGACGACGATGATCCAGACGAGCAGCGTGATGAGCTGGCAGACGCACAAAGATCAGATGACGATGATCCAGACGAGCAGCGTGATGCGCCCGCAGAAAGCAAATGGGTGAAGGTGGGCCAA